TAAAGATGTAATGTCATTTATTAAAGATGTAATGTCACTTACTAAAGATGTAATGTCACTTACTAAAGATGTAATGTCACTTAGTACAGATGACGTCACTTAAAATAGATGATGTCACTTACTAAATATGTAATCTAACTTATTAAAGGTGTTATGTCACTTAATACAGATTATGTCACTTATTAAAAACACAATATCACTTAAAGATGTAATATCACTTAATACAGATTACATCATAACAGAAATGATGTCACTAAAGCCCTATTCGCACAGCACTAGTTTTACCTACATGTAATAAATAAATTACTCCCCAACATCTGCTTTTTATGTTGCACATTCGCATGGGATAACCAAAGCCTGAGACTTAGTTGAAATTTACGGACATCTTCCGGATATGATGTTAACGCCGTGCGTTGTCATGACCAGGCTGTAATGTGCTTAATGTGCGGGCTGAGCTGGTCTCAGGCTTTGATGCGGTTTTACAAATTAACACAAAGAAAACTAAATAAGAATGAACAATATAAAATTGTGTTAATCTACTTGTTGAGAAGGAGGCAGGTCCGACGGGCCGGTTTAAGAGGTAAAAACAGCCACGTTAAACTCAGATGAGCAACCTGTCACCGGCCGTGCACGTGAGCGGCCGGGTGGCCGATGACCCGCCAGTTGAAATGGACTTGCGACCTGTCCAGGGTATCCCACGCCTTTCGCACAGTGATGGCTGGACATGGACACCAGCAACTCCCGCTACCCAAAAAGGAAGAAGCGGGTACATTAACTGGATGGATGGATGGATAGATGGATGGATGGATGGATGGATGGATGGATGGATGGATGGATGGATGGATGGATGGATGGATGGATGGGTCAGATGATTGCACCAAGGGCATCAGAAGCATCCGTAATGTGGGGGTGACACGATGATGTGTGTAGGTGTGTGCGCGCACGCGTTTGTGAGTACATGTTCGCGCACGTTAAAAAAAAAGTGTTCACTAGTGGACAAAAAGCAGCATTTCACCTAGATTTCCATTAATTTCACACATTTAAAACATGTTTCTCACCATGTTTGTGTGAATTCATCTGTGGGTTTTAAGACATTTTAACTTTAATACACTTTAACACAGAGCATCAGATCTGCACTATTTGTGTTTATAGAAAAATAAAAAACTTCACCACTGGACTTTTTTACTTGTGTTCAACACTCCTCATCTAAATGATGTTTGTCATGAAGCTTGAGGACAATAAGGTGTGGGGGTTTAAAGACATTTCAACTTTAATGCACCTGAACACACAGAGTCTCTTACACCTGCAGCGTCTCACAGCGTCACAGTTACTGCTAAGATAACATGCTACAGACGTAGTACTCCACTTCTCTCCTCCTAACATTAATATATGTTTATGATCAACGCCCCCGGTCAACAGCTACCCGCACAAAGCTGCTAAACTGGCGAGCGAGTAACACAGAGGTGTCTCCATCTCCTCCACCTGTGCGCATTTTCTGCAGAAGCAGGAGGATACACACAGAAACACTGCAGGTGTTACACCATATTCTGTGACCACCATATATTGTGACCGTGGCAACAGGCTGCTGTGTTTAGAGTTGGAGGTAACCAGGAAATCCTGGAGTGGAGTTTTAGTGGCTTGAGTATTCTCCTATTAATCAAGTGGAATGGATTTGTTTATGAAGAAAGAGAAACTGCGCCGCCTGAACTAATGTTTCATAGTAAACGTGGGGGGGGTCCAAATGAACGTTTTTGGAATGTGGGGGGACTTGTCCACTTCACATATAATGGTTGCGACGCCAATGGATCACACGCACGTCTCTGCACCTGCTGTCATTTGCAGTGAAGCAAGTAGCAACATTTACCAAAGCCAAAGCGAGGAGCGTGTTGATTTAAAATAGCTTTGTTCTATATTTTTCCAAATTATTTTGCTTAAACAAAAACAAAATAGCCTAATTACATATCGGATCCCACCGATTTCTGTCCAAATCACAGAGAGGCCTAGTCGCTTTGGATTAGTATTATCACAGGACATCGGAGTTCAGCGATATATAGTAGGTAATTTGCGGGGGAATTTTTACTTTACAAATTACTGACATGGACAGTTTGCACGGGATTAACAACACAGACAATCTCCATAATTTTACAAATAGCCTGTGGTCCCTAGGTAAAACTGAATAGGGCTTAAGTAAAGATTTAATATCACTTTTAAAAGATGTAATGTCATTTAATACAGATGATGTCACAAAAGAAATTATGTCACTTATTAAATATGTAATATCACTTGATAAAGTTAAGTCAGTCAAGTCAGATTTATTTATAGAGCACATTTAAAACAGAAACTGTTACCAAAGTGCTTAACAAAAATATCACATCATCAGATAAAAAGTAGCAAGATATATTTACAGCACATGGAATAAAAATATAAAACCGAAAACAATTAGAAACAATGAAATACTAAATCAGATCACGTTGTGTCAAAAGTCAAGGAAATAAAAACAAAAAGCATAAACTCAGTCAGAAACAATGAAATACTAAATCAGATCAGATGACCTTGTGTTAAATAGGAATAATAACAAAAGCATGAACAGAATCAGCATAAATGAAAAACTAGATCTAAATCCAATCACCCTGTGTTAAATGTCAATGAGTACAGATGTGTCAGTGAGTACAGATGTGTCAGTGAGTACAGATGTGTCAGTGAGTACAG